CCTCCCGTTGTTCCAGACTTATGATCTCCTTTTTATTCACATAGCAGTATTTTATTTGTGCCACCGCTGTAATAACATTTCTGTATGAATTAGTTCTAAATTAGCTTTGAGATTGACTTAGTGGTTGTTTTCATTTAGCACAAACATGTGTCATGTGTAGAAGTTTTTTTGTTTGTTTGTATGTTTTTTTACATCAAAATAATCCCTTCCTGCCAAAAAATGTATCTGAGGAAACTTTTTGCCGTTGCCTTGTATAAAATGAACAGATCAATGAATGCTATTTCACCGATCGATCAAATCATCAAATTCTTAAAACAATTTCTACTTGACTTACTACTTAATCTACTTCACCTGAAAATGTTGTACTGTAGAATGCTGGCATTTATTAGATCTGTCAAATTTCTGATTGATCGATCAAATACATTCCAAGATCATTTTTTCAAAGATAATCACCAGTCGCCACACTTTCAGCAGTTTTTTTCTCACATTAAACTTTGAGGCTTTTGAGGCTGAACAACAATATCTCAGGAACTAGTGAAGATACAAGCCTGAAATTTTCACTGTTGTTTCTGTAATATTGGATAACTCTCTGACACATTAACAAAAGAAAACGACAATATACAAGTCAACTAGTGAAATTATCGGAGCCACATGTAGCTCACCTGAATCTTGTAGCGGTTGAGGGGTTTGAGTGTCCCTGTGATCCTGGGAACTGTGTTGTCCAGGGCAATAGCCCCTGGTAAGGGTCTCCCAAGGCAATCTGGTCCTGGGGGAGGGACCAGACAAATAGCAATTCCAAGACCCTGATGAAGATCAAAAAGAGGAAAGCCACCACCTCACCCCAAACAGGGACACCGGGGCCTCCCCCTGGAGCCAGACCTGGGGGGGCGGGATGCTGGTGGCCAAACCTTGGGGTCCCATGGTGTTCGGTCGGGCACAGCCCGAAGATGCAACACGAGATCGTCGCCCAGAATGCCCACCACCCACGGGGCAGTAAGTTGGGGGGTGTCTGGGCGCCCCACCCCCTGATGGCGTGGACTAGTTGTAGGAACGTGGATCATCACCTCACTGGCAGGGAAGGAACCTGAGCTGGTGCAGGAGGTGGAGTGATAACGTCTAGATATAGTAGGGCCCTCTGGAGAGGTGCTGGACTGTCTCCTTTTCTGGAGTTGTCCAGGATGAGAGGCGCCGGGTGGGTGTGGGGATACTCACAAACCCCCGGTTGAGCGCTGCCTTGTTGGAGTTCTCCCCGGAAAATGAGAGGGTCGCCTCTCTGCAACTGTGTGTTGTGGAGGGGAAAACTCTGACTGTTGTTTGTGCTTATGCACCAGACAGCAGTTCAGAGTATCCGGCCTTCTTGGAGTCTTTGGGTGGTGTCCTAGAAGGGGTGAGGATTCCATAGTTCTCCTGGGAGACTTCAATGCTCACATGGGCAATGACGGAGAAACCTGGAGGGGCGTGACTGGGAGGGAATGGCCTGCCTGATCCGAACCCGAGTGGAGTTTTGTTATTGGACTTCTGTGGTAGTCATAGACTAGCCATAACAAACACCATGTTCGAACATTAGGTTGCTCACAAGTGTACCTGGTACAAGAGTACCTTAGGCCAAAGGTCAATGATCAACTTTGTAGTCCTATCATCAGACTTGTGGCCATATGTTTTGGACACTCGGGTGAAGAGAGGAGCAGAGCTGTCAACTGATCACCACCTGGTGGTGAGTTGGATCCGATGGCAAGGAAGGCTGCCGGACAGATCTGGTAAACGGGTAGTGAGGGTGAACTGGGAATGTCTGGTGGAGGCCCCTGTCTGTGGGGTTTTCAACTCCCACCTCTAGAAGAGTTTTTCCTATATCCCAGGGGAGGCTGGGGACATGGAGTCAGAGTGGGCCATGTTCAAAGCCTCCATCGCAGAAGCGGCCATTAGGAACTGCAATCAGAAGGTCACTGGTGCCTGTTGTGGTGGCAACTCCAAAACCTGCTGGTGGACACTGGCGGTAAGGGAAGCCGTCAGGCTGAAGAAGGAGACTTTCTGGGCCTGGTTGGCTCGGGGGTCTCCAGAAGCAGCAGGCAGGTACCGGTTGGTCAAAAGGGCTGCAGCTTCGGCGGTTGCGGAAGTTAAAACTCGGGTGTGGGGTGTGGGAGGAGTTCGGAGAGGCAATGGAGAAGGACTTTCAGTTGACCTTGAAGAAGGTCTGGCAAACCGTTCGGTGCCTCAGAAAGGGGAGGCAGGGATTTGCCCAGGCTGTGCACAGTGTACTGTGTACAGTTGGGGGGAGGCCCTGGATGTTGTTGAAATGTCATGGCTGACATGTCTCTTCACTGTTGTGTGGGCATCGGGTACAGTGCCTGTGAAGTGGCAGACCAGGGTGGTGGTTCCCATTTTCAAAACAGGGGGACTGGAGAATGTGTTCCAACTACCGGGGTATCACACTTCTCAGCCTCCCCTGGAAAGTTTACACTAGGGTGCTGGAAAGGAGGCTCATCAAACCGTACAGCCCTGATAAAAGTAGCTGTAACCTACCAGGTGGTTCAACCAAACACTAAACAACAACACACTAAAGCAGCGTATTTCCTTGCATGTATAACAGAAAGATCCAATAAACCTGATCCTAACTGAACAAGCATAAACAAGAAACAAGGCAACTGTGCACTATTAAGATCCCTCGTTAAACTTTCCTGTAAACAGAAAATCAAAACTGTTGCAAGAAACATCAGCTGTTGCATGTTGGAGCTCAGGGGAGCACGCTGCCCCCTACTGGCCGCACACTCAAACAAACAGTCATTAATGAGGTCCGCTGTGACGAACCGCCGATCAACAGTTTCTGATGGTAATTAGTCCTGCGGGAGACTCGTGTTTCTCAGAGGAAAACACCGATTACAGCAGCTGATGATGAGACCCTGCAGGGACTTGCTGCACTGATGAAGCTGCTGATTACAAACTTTACGACAACTTTTGCAAGAAAACTCAACATGTCATGATTCTAAATAGTTTAGGTGAACCGCTGCCTTTGGTCAAACGCCATTTAATCTTAACACCCAGAACATGACAGAGGAATAAAAAACAAACTGACACGAAACTTCACATTTCTGCTATAAAACACATGATGGTTCTTCAGTTCAACAAGTTTTGGTCTTAAGTTGTTTGTACGTGTTTGATCTCAGTTCCTTTAGAAACTCACAAACTCTGTGGTGGTTTTCTGGCTCTTGATGGACGTGTTTTGTCTCTTTGCAGTCATTTTGTGTGTCTTTGTGGTTGTTTTGTTCTTTTTTGTGGTTGTGCTCCATCTCTTTGAGGTCATCGTGTGTCTATTTGAGGTAATTTTATGTCTCTCTGTAGCCATTCTGTGTCTCATTGTGGTTGTTTTATGTCTGTTGTAGTTGTTTCGTGTCTGTATGTGGTCGTTTTGTGTAACTTTGTGGTTGTGTTGCGTCTCTTTGTGGTTGTTCTACGTCTTGTTTTTTTGTCCCTGTGTGCCTCTTGGTATTTATTTTGAAGGGCTCTGTGCTTCTTTGCAGCTGTTTTATTAGTTTAACAAGGTGTCACTTGTTTTGGAGTCGACTCACAGTAAACGTCCAGTTAAATAAGACGACCTCGAACTCATCAGGTGTTACCAGTTCAGAGTTGTGAACACGTGGGGGTGTTTACAGGTAGTCTGTTCAAAAATAATGCGTTAATCCTGGAAGACTGTTGATGTGGAATCATTTTTTTAAAACTCTGCTGCAACACTTACAGTAGTGTCCTTCTACCTTTGTGAAATACTTCAAGTGAGACGTCTGTGCACAAAATAACGGGTTTCCCACTTTGTTGTTGTACATTTTGATTCACCTGCAAAGACTTCAGACCAATCTAACACCTTGGAGATGAACTCGCTGTGAACCAGGTTCAGAACTCTTCCTGCAGGTTCAGAGAAAAACTGACGGTTTTAGGCAGGAAGCAGAGAGAACAGTGAGACGAGAGAAGGCCGGTCTGAAAGCTGGAGTCTCTCCAGAGGGGGCGGCTCCCTGTCCAGCGCTCCCTGAACGCCTCGCTGCAGCTTTAATTCTATTAACCTGCGGGTCAACGAGACACCTGAGAGCTCAGAGGCCTAATTACAGCTCAACAGTACAACAACCACAACACACCTTATCCATTTACACACACACACACACACACACACACACACACACACACACACACATACACAATGAAACCCCCAGTCAGCAGCTGGATGGTTCAACATTTATGGAGAGAATTACAGTAACGGGAGGACGGTCAAGAAATGCAGAAAGACATAAAACCACAACAAAGAAAGACAAAACCACAGCAAAAAGTTATAAAACAACCACAAAGAGACAGAAAAACACTAAAAAGAGAGACAAAACAACCACAGAAGCACAAAGCCACTACAAAGAAAGACAAAAAGACCACAGACATGAAACAACGATGAGGCACAAACTGACCACAAAGAGACAAAAAATGACCATAAAGGATCACAAAACCACCACAACGAGAGACAACAGGACAACAAGGACACACAAAACAATCACAACGAGACACAAAATGACCACAAAAGGAACAAAAAATAAGTATTAAGTGGCACAAAATGACCAAGAATATGCAAAACAACCACAAAGAAACACAAAATCACAATAAAGAGACACAAAATGACCCCACAGAGGCTCTGAGCTGCGTGGCGTATTCCCAGTGAGCGTGGATGGCATCATGCAGGGTGGGGTTTGTGTTGCGATGCAAGAGTCGACTGTGGGAAGAGATGGAGGCATCCGAGAGCCTCCAGTCGGCAAAGTGAAGAGATTTAAAGAGCGGCACTTTGTTGGTCAGTTCAGAGCAGCAGCGTCGGTGAAGACAGGAGGTCCGACAGCTCAGCAGCAGTTCTGATGAAACGCTGAACTTCCTGTTGGTCGTCGGTCCTGCAGGTACGACTGTTTTCTAACCGCCTTTAACTGCAGCTTGTTCCTGACACTGTGGGGGTCTGATGTTCTCGTCTCATGCAGAGCTGCCGGATGGAGAACCTGACCCTAGCGAGTCCCGTTGTGTTCGAGCTGGAGGGCTTCTACGTGCCGCCGGGTTACGGCTTGCTGCTCTTCGTGCTGGCGCTGCTCAGCTACGTGGCGGTGCTGCTGGGCAACGGCCTGGTGGTGAGCATCATCGTCCTGGACAAGAGCCTGCACAGGCCCATGTTCGTCATGGTGTGCAACCTGGTGCTGTGCGACCTGCTGGGGGCCACGGCGGTGCTGCCCCGCCTCATGGTGCACTTCCTGACGGGGCAGAAGAGGATCGCCTACTTCCCCGCCATCGCCCAGGCGTTCTCAGTGCACACGTACGGCGTGGCGGTGCAGACGATCCTGGGCACGATGGCCTACGACAGGTGAGGAGCGGCAACGTCGTTTCAGAGTTGTTTAGTCAGCACATTTGAAGCTGCTGCTGCACAAAAGAGCAAAAAACAAAAAGCTTTTAGCTGCTTTAAATACAGTCAAAGTGCCCCACGCTGTAAAATAATCAGTAGAAACAGATCTATGATGATATTAAATCAACACTTTATTCTGTGGCTTTACTAGTTATTAATTCAACATCACAGAGAAAATCTGAAATAACCGTAAATGTTCAAATAA